TTTATTATACATAAAAAATACAATGCAACTCATTTTTCCGTCTCACTTAACAGACTGCGGACTGTCGGATAGACATTTATAAAATTTCTATCCGGTGTGATTAAAAAATGAGATGCAAAGCATGTAGTATTACTTGCACCACAGCATACTNAACATGTTCCATACATTATATAAAAATATTACAATAAAAACTATAATACAACNCAATAATACAATAAAAACTATAACTAATACATAAATATATACATATATACTAATACATAAATATAAAAGATATTAATTAAAATACATATATATCATGAGAAAACAAAATAAAAAAGTACAAATATTTGAAACACTAAATTAAAATATTATTACATNTTGTTCATTCATACATACATACATGTCCATTCATACATTATGCAGCTAAAATTCTCCTCAAATCGACATGTCCCGCTATCGCAAAGACGTCGATGCCTTTCCTCCGATGTCATCAACCATAACCACCACTGCCAATGCCTGAAAGCATATTTTCTCCGATAATGCTCGAGAGGGCCGCGAGAAAAGCATGACTTCTTCAGGCACATGAATCGAAGTAGAAGAATCCTACCTAAATCATCTTTCTTCTTCCTGCTTGCTCGGAAAATTTGTCACAATACACACTACACTGTATTATACAACTGTACACAACACAACACTGAACTTTAAATGACTTTAAATAAATAGGAAGCCAAACCGTTGCAAACCGTTTAGCTAGTTGGCTACAATTGTCTACAGTTGCCAACAGTTGAGCACTCATTCCAACATGGCGGCCGACAGTGCTGCGATCTACGGCTGTACCGTCAAACTCGACTTCCGTCCCCAAAAAATAAAGAGAGTTACGACCCCCTGAATCAAATTGAGGGTTTCGGTAAAAACTAGACCAGTGTCACACTGGGTGCATCCAGAAGCACAACCGCTCAGTGAGCGCTTAGCCTGGATCCTCATGCAGACACTAGCACTTTAGCACCAGCGCTCAAGCGCTGTTTCAACTGTTGAGCAAAGCTAATGAGAGCTGTCAATCCTCATGACAGCTCCGGTGCTTTAGCGCCGTTTACTCCCACTACCCGCTTTTCACCAATCAACGCTCGGTGTCAAAGCGCCGGTGTCTGTATAAGGATCCAGCCTTAGTGAGCGCTCACAAGTAGTCGCTCAGAGAGCGCTTTTTGATTTACTGGATATATGCTCCGTTTGTTTTACGTCATTTATATCACGTGACATAAACTGCGTTTCGATATTCACTCCCAGTGCTAGAAATCTATAGCACAATTGACGTGAAATATAGATTTTTAGTACTGACAGTAAATATCGGAATGCAGCTATAGAAATATAAGAAGAAAGTAAAGTTAAAAGTTGTGTTACTAAATAATAGTAATATATATAATTTGTAATAATACAAAGACGTATTGGTATGATAATTTTAGAAAATGAAAGTGAAAATGATAATATTATGCAAATTATCCTTTATTGTGAAAATTTATGTGAAAAAGAAGAAAATATTTTATTAAATTATAAATCTGTGCATTATAGTAATGAAAATTATTTTGACGTAACAGTTCTACAATATTCTTTATGCGATTTTCATGTACAGTCGGCGTCAATGAATCGTTTCGTAGCCCCGGGAGCTAGGAGTAAGAGAGACTGTATTCCCTAGGAATAAGTACTGCCAACAAGCGCCGCATTAACTAACTGTAGCAGATTTCGATGAATTGACCAATTACAGTATTTACTGCTAGGGAATACCGTCCCTCTTACCCCTAGCTCCCCGCGTTCACGAAACGATTCATTGACGCCGACTGTACATTTCCGAATGAGACGCACTACAATAGAGATAAGTATAACAAAATATTACAATACAAAAAATAATCTTTTTTTTATTTATAATAATTATAAACTTTATACTTATTATGTATGATAATTTGTTATGATACCAAAAAAGTCATAGATTGTATATCTTAAAAAATTTATTAATTATAACTTATAGCAACTTGTAAATGTGATTGGACAACATATAGACAGAAGATATTACTATATATATTTCAAAAAATTTATACATATTAACAATATCTAACTATTTAATTGTTTAATTATTTGCAATAAAAGATCATTTTAGTTTCCAATTTTGAAATAAAAATTAACAAGCACAAGAAATATATTAGTTACTAACCTTTAGGGATATTCTTTGGCGCGAAAGACCATATAGGTGAGCGGAGTGAGCGATGCAAAACTACACTCACGAAAATGGCGATCGCTCACTGTGAGCCGCTTAGGGAGCGTTTGCATCCAGTAGACAGATCTAGGGTACTTACTGAGCGCTCTATGAGCGATTGTGCTTCTGGATGCACCCACTGTGTCATCTGTGTACGTTGCTGGAAAACCATAGACTTATATAATAGACGGAACATTCTTGTAAGAAGAGCTGAAGCTTCGTTAAAAGAAACAGAAATAGTCGTAGAGTAATTCTCTTCTTTTCTAGCACTGAGTTGATTGGTGGCCGCGGCAGGCCGAGAGCAACGAAGATAGAGTTCGAGAGTCAGTTGAGAGAAAATGATAGTGAAAGGTGATAGCATAGACTTGTGAGATGATTGGTCCCCCACCATCTTATTGTAAGAGAAAGAGACAACTACTCCAGCACTATCTCTATCCTTTAATGTTGTTCTCAACTTTGTCATATAAATGTTCCGTCTATTATATAAGTCTATGTGGAAAACAGCCAATTACTGTACATAACCTGTACACATATACGCAAAACATTTCTTATCAAACGATGAGACGTCAATCAGGAATAGTGGGGAAGGGAAAGTAAGGAAGAGAGTAGAATTGCACGGATAGAATTGTATATACCGAGTTGCATTGGTCATAGACACAAAAAAACAATAGATTACACACTTTTTACGTTAAATAGATACGCAGATGCGAGACGTAGAAATACAAAACCTGACATATGATCTTACGATTACAACTAAATTTTGTCACGTGCAATGGCCTTTATATATATAAACATACAAAAATAATGATAATAAAATTAATAAAATTTCTATACTTACTTTTTTTATTATATCATACGCGCTTATTTTTTATTTTCTCACAAACACAAACAGCAAATTCGGTAGTACTAGTGCGCACTGCCTACATAGCATCATCACTCTTATTAATAATTAAATAAGTTCTTCAAAATAATAATGGATTTAATATAAACATCCATTTATGTGTCTATCTGTCATTTATCATAGAGATAAATATCGCACGGAGTTACATAAATAATACTAATACATAAATAATAATAAATTTTTTATGCAATAATAAACGCTCAGTTAGGTAAATAATGAAAAGCACGGCAAATATATATTTTTTAATAATTTATTAAGTCTTGAAAAATCTGTTTAATATAATATACGTCTAATGGATAATAGATCTCTTTCCATAATAGATTTTTTATGAATATCTATAGTGGACGTAGCATAAATATGCATTAGACGTCCATCCAAGGTCTGTAGAATAGACAGGTTGCCTGGTAACCAATGGCAACCAAAGCGTCGGATGGGCGCATATTGCTTACGTTACTCAGCGTGCCAAGCAACATCATGTGCATCTATGAAGCTAGTGATACGTCAATAATCAGTGCTTTGTTTGATAGTTTGATAGCGATATAAGCTCCTTGCACAATGCGAGTCAATAGTGATAGCGATAAGCAATAGACACAGAATTCCAACTCGTCGGAAATTTTATCGCTATTGCTTATTCTGTTTTCTGATCTGCATTGATACATGTGTATTTTTGTATGTTAGATTCCGCTGTTTCTACCGTTATTTATAAATATAAACTCTTTAAACCTGGTGTTATTTCTAATGCTATCGCTATTCCGTCCATTGTGCAAGGGGCTATAGTGTTTAATATCTGAGGTAAAAATTCTACTTGTAAAACTTTCGTATTTTAAATATGTATAAAGTCTATATTTTGATAATTCAGTGCAAAATATTCCATTCAGTGCAATATATTTTCCACAAAGTAGGAAAAATATAATTTCTATTGTTTTTTATTTTTATTCATGTTTGCAATATTGTTATTTCTATTCTCCTCTAAAATTTCAATTTTGTCGAATACTTGTTATTAGTATAAAAATATTGATATCAAAATATTAAATATTAAATATTATCAACTTGAGTATAAAAGGGCCAGTAGGAACCAGATGCAGGAACTTATTTGCAAAAATAAAGACGATGTGTGTGTCGAAACGTTTCAACTTATATTTAAGTCATCTTCAGTCGACAAACTATAATAAATACAATATAGATAAATTGATATGTGGATAACATTTACAATTTGATAAAAATGCAATCAAATAACAATCTCACCATTAAGATCAACACTTCAAAAATATAAATTTAAATGTATGTCCGGTACATGGGTGTGTCGTGTTTACCAGATAGGCATAAACTGAGAGGCAAGCCATGAGTAGTCAATAATAAAGGTGAATACATAGATATGTCTCGTGGTAAAATGTGAAAGAGTCAAATCTTATCAATAATCGGTAAATATGTTTCGTCTAAAAGTTCTGTATCTCTCATAATGTTTAAACTGTTGTCTTTTTGTAATTTAATAAAAAGCATCTCTGAAGTTAAACGTTTAAAATAATTCGGTTCTTTATCGAGAATTTTAACAGAATTCCAATTGAACGAATGGTTTGTATTTCTGCTATGTTCAGCCAATACTGAGGTCTCTGAATTTTTCTTCACGTAATTCATATGTTCTTTAATTCTTGTGGAAATTTGCCTTTTCGTCTGCCCTACGTAACTCAAATTGCATGAATTGCAATCGATGCGATATACTACATTTTTGCGTTTATCTGGAGGAACCGAATCTTTGTGTGTTTTAATAAATTTATTTAATTGTGTTATGTTTCTATATGCCATTGTGTATTTTTATGTGTGACACACACATCGTCTTTATTTTTGCAAATAAGTTCCTGCATCTGGTTCCTACTGGCCCTTTTATACTCAAGTTGATTTTTTATCATTTGAACCCGAGGAAACCCCTCATAACCACGTAATTTTATTAAATATTATGTTGTTTTTATAATATGATTTATATTTGTTATTTTCAGTTAATAACTCGAATAGGGCTCTATGACCATCCGTCACCTTTACATGCACTGTACAGGATCAGAATGATTCTGCTGAGAAAAAGTTCGGGGATAGTACAGACTCATTCAAACGTAGAGTCCTCACCTTAGTTAGAGCAGGACAAATATTTATTAGTCACTGCATTAAAGCAGGCATATATTGTGAACATACAGTTGTCGGAGCCTCAAAAAATATCGAATGTTCCTAAAAACGAAAATAGCGGTAGTTCTGGCAGTTCTACTACGTAACTCTCATCAAATAAAGATGCGTAAGAAAAAGATAGATTGATATATTGTATATTGCAGGATATTTGGCCAAACGTCATTTAACAAAATATCCACATCTTGGCCATGTTACGTCCTGACCTACGGTTACGATCGGGTTCTAACGGAGGAACGCAACTTGACACACGACACTTTTGTGTATTATGTCTCGGCACACTGACCTAATGAGATAAGGCAAGCATGCGAGTCGAGCGAGACTGTTCAACGACGTAGTCAAGTCAACGGATTTGCCGATATTACTTATCTAACGTCTTCTCACTCGTCGGTCCTCTTTTAGGTCTTAGAAACGAATCTAATTTACCTGGTACAGGACTTGGTGATCACGTGATGAGATTACAGGAATGAATTTTCAAGATAAAAGTTCGAAGTTAATTAGTTGAAGCTGTTTTCATTTTTATGAGCATATAAATCATTTTTATTCAAAGTATTAATATTTAAGTTTATCCCAAAATACTCTTACGTAAGTCGAATTAAATAATTGGACGTGTAATAAAGTTCGGTGTGAATTTGAGTATACATTGGCATTATTACTATGTTTGATCCTGGGCGTTCGTTATTAACATCACTGTTAGTATTTTCAATATTTTAAATCCTTACGTAAATAAGCACCGTTACTATTTAGGCTATTGTCTAAAAGACGGAGGTTGGTACGCTTCGGTTCGCTCACTCGACAGGCAGCGGTTCTCCGCCGCAAAGTTCGGTTTCGGATATCGCGTTGTTAGAATCACGGTTGATTTTCGGAGCGGTATGTTAACTGCATATGATTTGCTACTGCTCAAAGTTCGACAGTGGTGATTGGAAATCGGCAGCGGTTCAGAACAACTGACGTCGTGAAATCGCTAATCTGGTAGAACTGGAAGTCAGCAGCGACCCAGAACGACACACAAGGTCGTGAGCTGCTAGTCCGACAGGAATGAAAAGTCAGCAGCGGCCCTGAACGATTCGCAAGATCGTGAGTAGCTAATCTGACGGAAAAGGAACCGGCAACAGTTCGAAACGATTCGACACCGCAAAACGCTAGTCCGGCTAGGATGTCGAGGAGAAGGACTTACTAAATGAAGCAGTTATTAATTGAATTGTCGAATTTAATCCTTTTCTTCCGAATATCAACCGTCTCAAAGAAGATTTTACTGTGTGCGTGGGAACCTTAGATTTGTTTTGCAAAACTATTACATTAGTAAGTACTCACTACTTATTGTTTATAGTAGAATGTCGAAATGAGTGATTGATTCGCTTCGCCCAAGAGTCAGGAGTTTGTTAGCTGGACTCAGTGGGATGAATTGGTCGTCTCCTCCGATGGGAGTTGTCACGAATCGCACTGTTCACTCGGATTTACGTGCCGAGATCGATGTCAAATTGAGAAACGTTCGGATCGTGAGGATCTAATTCTCACAACCGAATTTCAGATCGAACAGGAAAAGCGAGTATATTTTTATATGACCGAATTGACTCTAAGTTAAATTGTTGAATTAAACTTCGAAAATTTGATTTGGACGAGAAGGAATAAAACTGTGTTAATAATCGTAATGCTGGTTATGGAGCGCGCTTTCCGATGTTCCAACGCCTTATATATGATGATCTCGGGGCGTTAATCCTTCTGATTTTTTCCAATCGTCTTTAGATTTTACTCTCCCACTCTTTACTGATTAAAATTTTGATCTCTCATTTGCTAATCCGACCAGGCGAGAGGACCAATCACCGCCAATCATTCTTTCTGACTCACTCAACATTTGTTTAAACTTTATTATCTGCACGTGCAATTTCCTGTTTATTTTCGGTGCCATAACATTCCTTGGTAGAGATTAGCGGACCGCCTAAATTATCTAAGTTTATATTCGCGAATTATTCGCGAACAAAACATCCGAACTACTTGTTGACTAATTGACCGGTATCCCTTTGAAAGTCGGTAAGAGTGATTAGATCACGAAGTAAGAGTTAGGAGATCGAACTCCGTGATACAAAAGTGATTCCGAGTTTTACGGTTCATTGGGAGAGAATCCGCTCAAGAAAATAGCTTTTTACTGTTGGACGCCATTTGCAAAACTGTGCATGTACACAACTAACACATGTACACGTTTAGTATATGTAACAAGATAGGTTACATACACTAAACGTGTACAGTCGGCGTCAATGAATCGTTTCGTAGACGCGGGAAGCTAGGGGTAAGAGGTATTCCCTAGCAGTAAATACTGTAATTGGTCAATTCATCGAAATCTGCTACAGTTAGTTAGTGCGGCGCCCGTTGGCAGTACTTACTCCATTGACGCCGACTGTACATGTGTTAGTTGTGTACATGCATAGTTTTGCAAATGGCGTCCAACCCTAAAAACCTATTCCCTTGAGCGGATTCCCTCCACATGAACCGTAAAAATCGGGACCACTTTTTCCATTCGCGCGCTATCAAGTTCGATCTTCTTACTCTTACTTCGTGGATTAGATAAAAAATTGCGATACGGGTCTGTTTATCTTAGTTCAATAGGTCCTTTGTTCTCTGCTCAAGAGCTGTTATTTAAAAATTAATTCTAAGGCGCAAATCTTAAAGCTAGTTTATGTCTTGTTCCAAACAGAAGGGGACCGTGGAATCCAGGACGTAACAGCCAATATGCATACAAAACGGATGAAGTCTGAAGTCTTCATAGTTACAGCATGCCATCATGGCTACAAAGCCTGTCATTTGATGGCTTAGTTCAACCTTCGACTGCATGCAGCAAGTTCATGCAATGGAAAAATATTTTCTTCAATTTCATAAAGAAAAATTTAAGCGTGGTCAAAACATTGTTAATAAAACAGTGACACATATAACAAAATATATAAAAAACATTCCCCCTGAATTAGTAAAAGACTTTTGTAGACAAAAACTTTTCATTTGTCTAAAATTTCTTAATTTAAAAAGAGGAAAGAAAACTAAAGAAACAAAAGACTTCTTCTGATAGTAAAATAACTAAAAAGCAAAAAAATTGTGTCTTAATTATTTGTCTTATATGAATGCAAATTAATATTGAAAAAAATAAATTATAATTATGTCAAAATGTACGTGTACATATTATGTAGTATGTATTTAAATATACAAGGTGTCCCAGAATTGGTTTAACATTTCTCGTAGGCAGGTAGAAGGAATAAAACTGAGTCGAAAAGTTCTATACCATTTTGCTAGATTCGCAATAGTTACCGAGATTTTAATTAACAAAGATCCGCGAATAAGCGTGCATCAGGCTGTCTTACGCGCGGAGGACAGCCCGGCGCGCTTCGCACAATTACATTTTAATATGTATATGTTATAGTATATGCTGTTATATTAGCTCCTCCCATATGTCGCTATGGGTAATACCGTTACCGCGCGAAGCGCACTGGGCTGTCTTACGCGCGTAAGACAGCCTGATGCACGCTTATTCGCGGATCTTTGTTAATTAAAATCTCAGTACCTATTGCGAATCTAGCAAAATAGTATAGGACTTTTCGACTCAGTTTTATTCCTTCTACCTGCCTACGAGAGATGTTAAACCAATTCTAGGACACCCTGTATATAATAAATATATAATTAATAAATATTATATAAGTTAAAGATTTGAGCACTGTTTTTTTAATATATGTTGATTACCACCACGAATTCGATCTGGCAAACAATGACAAATTATTTAAATTATTTTATTTTTTAGGTTTTTCAAACTTTTGTCACATCTTCTCTTTTTTTAAACTTATTCGTTTTTTTTCTTTTTATTGAATTTATGTTTTATTTGATGCATCATGAACTTTCCACAGATGTTCAATGTGTTCTTTTTCATTGCATGTGCACAAAGAGGCACTTAACAAAATACGATACAGAAAAATAACAGAAAACAAAAACATTTTTACGTACGCGATAACTACCAGTAGGCTTTCATTAACAATCGATTACAAGTTAACTTGTAGTTAGCAATAAGTGTTCAATCGTTTCTCACATCATACGAGCATATTTCATATACTGTTAGAACAATGTACAACTTGTATTAATTTAAACGGGCAGACTGGGTGACGTCACTGCCGCATTTTTATTCTTGTTTTCTGATTGGTTATCAGTCAACCTATCTATTCTACAGACCTTGACGTCCATCCATTATTCATCATGGAGATGGAGCTGTGGATGATGTATGGATCTCTAAGTCCTGATTTATGCGAGTAATAATTGTTAACTTATGCCGGAACCGGTAAAGTTTAACTATAAGATTTCAATGCTTCTGTTTATACAAAATTACCGAATGCGTATAAACAAAAGTATTGAAATCCTATAGTTAAACTCTACCGGTTCCGGCATATGTTAACAGTTATTGCTCGTATAAACCAGGCCTAATAGACGTCGGCTGCGTTCGGGCCATGAAGTAAGAGTAAGGAGATTGAACTCCGTGATATAAAAGTGGTCCCGATTCTGACGCCTAATTGGGAGGGAATCCGTTCAAGGAAATAGTTTCTTACGATTGGACGCCATTTGCAAAGTACCGTAACCTGACCTTGGCTGAGTACCGTTTCACGCATATGCGCGCATTTATCTATAGTACACGTTACATATAGTATAGATAAATGCGCGCATATGCGTGAAACGGAACGCAGCTCTGTCAGTTTTTAGTTAGTATTACGCAGCAATTATTTTTCTGACACTAAAATCACTTTCTGCTTTCACAAAACCAAAAAATNTGTCGTTTCCAGTTATAAATCCCCAATTTGGAGAAAGCAGCTCAACTAAATGCAAATTTTTTTGCAAATACTTGAATTTATCTGCTGCTTGTTCCATTTCCATTGAATTTCTTTTCATTATACTCGTGAGCCTGAAAATGATAGTCTTTTTTACTATTAATTCCTCAATGTTACTTTTTTCCATTAGTAACCTTTTTGTTTGTCCAATTTTGCGTATCTATAATTTTATTTTCAATTACTCAAAGCGTTATAACACGATGCACGTAAAACAGAAAACTTCTAAATCTTTTATCACTTTATTTTGTTGTATTGCTGAGAAATTTCTACATTAAAAGAAATCTCACAATTCGGAGCATAAATATAATTACATATATTAAATGTGTACATAAGGGGAACCAATAAACATTATCTATCTATCTATCTATCTATTAAATGTGTACA